CTGATCTTCAACCCATGTAAAAAAAGTGAGATTTTTAATTGATTGTCAACGCAACAAGAAGCGTACATACTAACTTGCTGTGCGTAAAACGCATCGTTTATGGGCGTTTTGGGCAAAGGCCGGACCTGCTGTAGGTCTAAGCAAAACATTATCGAATTTTCAGGACTTTTCCTCAACAGGCCATAAAAGGCGTTAGCTCTTCTTTTGTCAACTAAAAGCTCGGTGCGTAGCTGGTTTTTCTTGTCTTTGTGTACTTCTCTTTTTATTTGGTAGGTACTTAAATCGGGTATATTTTGCGCAAACATCTTCTGCTGGAGTTGAAAACCCAATATTAATTCATTGACCAATATTCTTCGAAACATAGAAAAGTTCACCCTAGCTTCTGCATCACAATGACTTTAGTACATGTAATTTTTTTATGGTCAAGTCGGCTGCTAAATAAATCCGTTTTGACTTGTTTCTATTGTTGTCTCTCACTGCCTTTTAATGTCTATGAAATCTCTAACTTTTTTCATTTTTTCTCAGATTTAGCAGATATACGGTCACCGCCACGTTTTTCCTTTGGAATATTTCCTTCAGACAATACTTTAGCTATGTGGTTTACTCTATCTTTTTTACTATTTGTACTCTTTTCGGCAAAAAATAGTGTACGGAAAAATTGCGGCTCCTAGACTGTTCTCCTTGTACTGGTATTTTTCTTTTGATCGGCACCACTGATATGTAGGGGTATAATTTGGTATATTTTATTTTGAATAGCGTCACTTACTGCAATTCTGGCGCAATAATACGTAGGACCCTCGTATTACAAAGTTTTTCAAAGTTATCCACATTAGGAATTCCGTCACGATATCTAAAATTTTGAGGTTATCGACATCGACGAAATTCCAGGAGTCCGATCACTTACAAGTAACTCGTATGATTTCCCACTTTCTCCCAAATTCTCAAATTATTTGCATTCATATTTTATGTGCAGCACCAACACATACATTTATTTACAACACGCATTATTTAATACATAACCTAACAACGTATTTGAAGGCGCCAAGCCCAACATGCAAAGATCGGGCTTAAGGGGAAAGGGATCGGAAACCAAAATGAGGTTTTAGGCGTGTCGCCTTAACTGAAAGGAACTAACAACATTAAACCTACAGTCGCCTGTAGCAGCTACTTATGTGTGTTCTGGTCGCCCAACCAAACTTTTCTAGTCCCATTCTCGATGCAGGGAGGTTTTGTATTGTCTGTCAATTATTTCACACTTGATTTAGCTAAAAAAAAAGTATTCCGTTTCGTAATACTTTAAAGATTTATCGTATGAAAAAAAAACTTGTTGCGGGTCGCTGTCATTCTGTAATACAGTAAAATATTTCTTGTGTTCTATTGTTCTTTTGTAACGTTTCATATTTTTGTCTGTTAAGGGTGGGGAGTTCAACAAGTTTTCGTTTGAGTTGAAACTTTCTGATATTGACTTTTTCTCTGTAGCCGCTTCTCGTAAAACTTTGTTCTGTATCAATATATTTTTTGTAACTCCTCTTACCTTAACGTTGCCTTGGAAAGATGAAATTCTATTTACAATAGCATTTTGAATATTTTGTTCAATTTGGATTTGTTTCGTTCTAAATTCAATAAAAATTTTCTCATATTTGCAATACTTTAAGTCAGTCTGTAATAGTTATTTACATAAAGGTCTGGAAAGTAACATGTCATTTTACTGACGAGGTTTGTATTAAATTTTACCGGAAATCGTATTTTAATATAAAATTTCAATTTTTATATACAACTTTATACAGTGAATTTTTTTTAAATGCGAACATAGGAGTTTGTATGCAATGTAATTTCCCTATGTTCGATTTAAAAAAAAACACATCAATCTATTGAGTAGTTCAAATGAGTAGTAGATACAATTGACAGCTGTCACATTTTTAAAAATACCGTCGTCCAATTTAATTACGAAATATGTTAGGTTATTGCTTAGAATGTCAAGGAGGACACTTCGAACATTTATTGTAATTGTTTGCGTTATTTATTTTCTTATTTTCTTCATTTATGTATTGAATAAAGCAAATTAGTAGAATACCAGGTGCACATGGCCTACAAATAATTGAAGGTTGGTTCACAATGAATTGTGATGTCAGCGCGTGCCATGTGAAGTCAAGTTATCGTAAGTTTAAGAAAAATTTATCCTAAAGTTGCTATGGCCTCACATGGCTTAATTAAAAAAATCTTACCGAGTGCTCTTCATCATAAAGACTATGAATTGCTGTTCATAGTCACACAAATTGCGCGTTTTGGGAATGTGAACCGCGCACATCTCATAGATTGATGTGTTTTTTTTAAAATCGAACATAGGGAAATTACATTGCATGCAAACTCCTATGTTCGCATTTAAAAAAAACTCACTGTATACGTTTAGCAATGTCACAAATGCGGCCGGTAAAGTGACGGTGCGGTCGGTAAAGTGACAGGTGCGACCAGTAGACAAGCGGCAGGAAACGTACTTTGCTCTGCCTCTGTCGCGGAAACTAAAATTTCCTGCCAGAAAGTAGGCATGAAAATGGTTTCCGGATGGGTAAAAATATTTACATGACCGAATAATTGGTGTAAAATGATTTCTGCTTCGAGATGTCACAATATAATTATAATGTACAGGAACATTTTAAAAACTTGTTTCCAAATAATACTGTAATGTAAACTTAATGACGTGCTTATTACAATTCACAATAAATTTATAACAGTAAACGTATTATTTATCACTCACATACACACAATTTATAACTGCGCGAACTATTTATTACTTCGCCTTGGAAAGTGGAATTGAACTTGAAGCGCAATTCGGTTGCTTTTACATCAAACGCCCTCTGTTGAGCGCTTTCGAAGGCATCCGACTATTCTAGAACGTTCTCGAACAAACACGTAATGTTTCTCGGAAAGATTACTTCACATCCGTCTCGCCTTTATTCTTTATCACCGATGACTAATTTTTCTATGTCTATCGAGATTTCTGGAATGTTCGCTGCACTGTCCCCCTTTTAAAACTGTTCTGTCTCGCAACACGGGCTACGGTGGTATCGGAGATACAGTCCCAGGCAACTCTAGTTCTATAACGCGAACTTGATGGCGGTACTTGCACGACGACCCCCGTGCATCTTCCGTTCTTGAAGAAAAAATAATCCACCGTCTTACGAATGGGTGGAGGGATTCCTCTGGAGTTAAATAACGTCAATATTAGACGTAAAGACCTATTATCTATTTCAGTTCATAAGACCAAGACACTGCAAAGATCATTCTCTTACTCGATTGCTACAATATTTAATAATTTACCAGCTGAAATTAAAAACTACACTCTACCTATCTTCAAGCGTGCGGTGCGTGACATACTAGTAAGTAAATAATCTTTATGTCTTACTAGCCTATCATAGCACATTTTATATCGGTGATACGCGGGCATAAAGTACCACTTTATGCCCTAGGGCATTAAGTATCACCCGAGGGGGAAACCACTCTTTCAATTTGGTGTACATGAATTTTTCATTACAGTTTCATTCCATTTTCAATCTTTCAATATTATCATTATCAGTTTCATTACTTTCAATCTGTTCATTCTCTTTTCATTCTATTAATTCTAAGATTAATTCTTTTTTTTCATTCTATTAATTCTCTTCATTTATTTTTCATTTCCTCATTTTTTCTTATTACGGTTATAAATATTTTTCATTAACGGTTTCATTATTTACAAAAACGAATATTGTTTCGATTTAAATCGCCATACGAAGTAGGTGTGAGGTGGTAATGCTGAATGCTGACGCACATCGAAGTCTGTACGTTATACTTTGCAGTTCTTTGCACATTGCTAACGTTAAACCAAGTATATTTTCGTCGATTTTAGTGGCCAGTGAATAGTGTAATGTGATACATCTATTTATAGAAAGGTAAGGAACAATATACTCTTTACTAAATGCCCTCGTAAATAGTTCTATAATAAAGTATTTCGGAATGAATCATTTCTTTCATACCGTGCACATTTGTTTATTAAATATTTCGTTGAATATAATACCTACGTTGAGATCACCGCTCAACGATTATGCTTTTTGGCGCAATGCATATTATGTTATTGTTATAACTTATCTAAAACCGACCTATGTGGATATCATTTTTAGTTATTTTTCAAAAGCAATGTTTTTAGCAAATATTTTGGAGAAAAATGTAGTTTATAGAGACCTCCGGTTTGTTTTATTAATATTATCGAGTTTTTAATGCGAAACGAACTATTTTGACTCTTCTGATTGCGCGCGCCAGAAAATTTCCTTACCTACGTACCTTTTTAACCTTTTAACATTTTTTTAATTAAATATTCGCTCGAATATTCGCCTTCTTAGTCCAAAGCTATCAAATTTTGCCACATTCTTGTGGAAAAAGTAATTGAAGTGGATTTTTAAGCCAATCATTGAGATTCATCAAATTGTTTTAAATCTAATTCAGTTTCTTATATTGCAGTGTTGTTGACAATCACGCGTTAGTTATGGAGTCGGATATAGATACCAGCCGAGATACCAGCATATGGCAAAACATTGAAAAAACAACCAATATCATTTTCCCTCCCTATCTTAAAAACCTAATGACTGCTTTCGGGTTTGATAACGAAATTTCGATATCTGCTTTTGCTGAGGACGATATTCCCAAGCTAGAAAACTTTGCTTTAACAGTGCTGCCTTTGATACTCCCGGAAAATTGTAGTAGTGAGGAGAAAAAAAAATATTTTGGAATATTTTACGCTAACATTAAAAATTTTCAAATTGTTGATGGACATAAAAAACTTCTTATTAAACTGATTAACTACTATACATCAAAAAACTCTGAAAAAAATTCTGTTCAAAAACCTAAGTCAAAACGTCAAAAGCAGACAATCTCAAAAATACTAGATACCCCAGATGCTCGCCCAGATGATATCCCCGAAGGTGGTGCAGATAATTCAAAATCACAAACACCTTTATCTCTACCTTCCTCAAACGAGACAATAAATGAAAAAGAAGAAAAAACAAAAATTAGACAAATGTGTTTAAAATGGTTGGTATCATATAAAGAAAACTTACCTCCAAACAAGGACTCTATTAAAGAAATTATTTCTAGTCATTTGGATTCAAAGATTGATTATAATATCCGTGTATATACCACTCCTCAAAGTGCTGTTAATTGCGCTATAGCTTACCTGACGTGCAGCTTTTGTAAAGCCGATATAAAAATTGTGAATGCCATAAAGGAAAATAAGACTTACTGGACCTTGTCAAATTTTTTCAAGCATATTAGGAATCACTATGACAGCAAATCTAAGAAACAGCGATTCAATACTCTGCACCAATATTTCAACAAGTACAACGAATCGGAATCAGCTACTTCCGAGGCTACTTCTTTTAAACCTGGTACATCCGCTGAAGTCGAGGCTGAAGCGAGGGCTGAAGTTTACAACTATCAAAGATCAAAGCAAAAAGAAAATGTACAAGCAGACACTCTACCGGCAGATGCAAATGGCGATGGCGAAAGCGATGATGTTACCATTATTCTACAAGAGGTGGTTGAACAAGTTGAAGGAGTGGGAGAACCTCAACAGGATTTTCTGTAACCGGGGACACATCCGTTGATACGATTTGTGTTCCCCGGTCAAATATTTCTACCCAGTTGCCTACAATAAAAGATAACGTACAATCGAACATTAAGCCATCAGCGAGGCCATCAGTTACATTTGGGAAATGGAAACAATTAAAATATCAAAGAGTTGAACGAAATCGGAGGAAGAGAGAGTCTTCTACCAATAATACCAGTATTACAGACTTCTTTCCGTTGCTTGATAAGATTAGTAGCATCCTATCCGAAGAAAATCCAAACATTTTGGCAGCTTGTGATAATATCTACCAGCAACTAAGTTATAAACAACCTAGCGAAAAAATGTCCTCAAATATACAATTAAAAAATGTTAGTAATTTGATGAAAATATTGTTAGAAAATGCATACAATAATCGGAAAAACTGCAATGAAAAACATCAAGGAAAAAGGTACAATACAACTGTGAAGCTATTTTCTACATATATTTATTTGATTGGGGGTAAGCTATTGTATGAAGTGCTTTCCAAAAATTTGGCCGGATCGCTACCATCTGTAACAACTGTTCATAGAGAATTGTACACTAACATCAGTCACGAAGAAGGGAAGTTATTAGTATTCCAATTGAAAGAATTTTTACTGAGAAATAAGTACCCTTGCAAGGTATGGGTATCGGAAGATGGGACAGCAATATCAGGAAAAATTGAATACAATGCACATCAAAATGTTTTGGTCGGGTTCACCTTGCCATTATGCGAAAAATCCGGCATTCCAAAAGGAATCTGGAAAGCAGATACTGCGCAAAATATATTTAATGCTTTTAAAAACGGTAGTATATCAAAATATGCATACATAATTACAGTTCAACCACTTGCATTTAATGCTCCCCCTTTTTGCTTGTGTGCCTTTAGTACTGATAATAGATTCACGAGTCAAGAAGTAGTCAATAGATGGAAACACATCACTGAAGTTTGTCTTGAAAACGGGATAGAAATATGCGGTTTTTCGTCGGATGGTGACACACGGTTATTAAAAGCAATGAAATTTAGAACTGAAATACCCAAAATTAATCTCAACTTTCCATGGTTCCAAACAAAATTAAACAGTACTGACCCTTTATATATTCAGGATACTGTTCATATAGGAACCAAGTTAAGAAACTGTTTTTTAAATAAAAAAATTAACCTTACTATTGGCAACTACATAGCATCAAAAGACCATCTGGCAACTTTAATAGAAACTGTATCAAAAGATCAACACCTCTTATGTGAAACCCATTTGTCTGGAACTGATAACATGAATTTTGAGTCGGTGGAGAAAATATCACATGCCAGAGTTCAAGAGTGTCTAGCAAAATATGTGGCAGAAAGCCAAGCAACAGTAGCCTTTTTAAAAGTTATCAGATACGTACTGGATTCATTTTTGGAAAAGTCTTTGAAGGTTTGCGATAGAATTTATTATATGTGGTATGCGGTTAACTTTTTGCGACTATGGAGACATTTTATCAGATCACATTCAGCACTAAATTTATCTACCAATTTCATAACCTTAAACGCATATTCTTGCATTGAACTAAATGCTCATGCTTTAATTCTGGCCTGTCAAAAATTTTACTCAGAACCACACCTTTTCCAACCATGGTTATGGAGTTCACAGCCGTGTGAAAAATTGTTTCGAGCTACACGATCTATGACTTCAACTTTTTCAACAGTTGTAAATTTCAGTATGTTAGGTATTCTTCAGCGCCTTCATAAGTTTCATAAGATCAACGAAATAATGTCCGAAATCGGTAATCTAGTCTATCTTAATAACAAAATGTGCTTACACAAACGTTTTAGATGATGAAATAAACTTTCCTAGAGAAAATACTCGTAAAATGGGAAGTCAAACTCCAATGGAAGAAACTATATACATTCCGTCCATAAATGAGATTGCTGATATTGTTAGCAACGCCAAACAAGCAGCAGTGAATGATATTCAAAGTCTTGGAATAACCATTGAATCTAATGAATGGGAAACAGTGTCTATATTACATGTAACAGGTAAGAAAAACTAACGTTAGTTATGCATGTTATGATACTGATATCGATGGTTCTGTAAAGTGATTGACTTTAGAATTCTGTTTTAGTTAAATTTAGTTTGTATATCTACCGTCTACCCGGGTTGTCAACTATATGTATTTTATTAACAATTAAAAATTAGTTCAAAAACATCTTTAATAAATAAAACGGTGTATATGTTTAATCGCTTATGTTTATTTCAGATTTAACTTCTTCCGAACCTGAGGAAAATACTTCAAAAGAAGCTGAGAACGAAGCAGATTTCATGTATGATATCCCCAACTCTTCTGGTTTAAATAATTGTGACGGTAATTTCTGTAATTAAATTTTATTTAAAAAAGTGTAATTAAATAATACCTCTTATTTTAGATATGAGTGAGAATGAAGATCGAGATGAAGATATTCTTGAAAACTTAACCAAACTCTCCAAAGAAATAGGGACAAGTGAACTGAACTTGAAAGATTACAGTAAAAACGAAGCGAAAAAAGAAGCCAGAAGGAAAAACAACGATTGCGACCCTTGTGTAAAATATGAAGCAAATGGAAAAATATTAAACATCCGAAAAACTACCTTATGCTGGCTACTTAGTAAGAACATCGATAGGATAAGTTCTGATCGATTATTAAGATTTGTTGGAAATAAAAAGCGTAGGGAAAAGAACTCGGAAAATAATAACAGCAAACATAATGCTAGTTTTAAAAATAAAAAGAGACTGAGAAAAAGACCTAGGAAAGATTTATCTCCACATTCTTCGACTAACACAGAAGATGATAGCTGTGAAGAAATGAGATATGCAGAGTCTGAAGATTCTGATACGTTGGTTTTTGAAGAAGATGAAGAAATTGTACAAAGTAAATCCGAGGTTAATGATGTCAAACTTGAACATTACTATGCCGTTGCATATAATGATGGATGGTACATCGGGCGTGTAGTGGAAAAAGTTAAAGATGATTTATTTCAAATGAAATACTTAAAATACAGTTTAGACAAATTTATTTGGCCACGCACGCCTGACATACATGATACTAATATTGAGTATATATTTTATGGGCCAGTCTGTTTAGATGGAAATGACCCCTTTTACTTAAAAAGAAGTGACAAAGTTGCTGTGGAAAAACTTTACAAGGACATTATGAATCGGTAAATGTTATTCATTATGTAAGTACACTTCTACTTATTAGGTGTAAAAAAACTGTACACGTTTTCAATATATTAATTACCATTTACGTATTTTAAATCTCACTTCATTCCTTCATTACCTTTTCAATCTTTCATTCCATATTTAAATCGTGTCATTATTTTCATTTTCAATTCTTACGATTTCATTCTTTCATTATTATTTCAATCTTTCATTACACACTTCAATCCTCTCATTATTTCCATTTTCAATCTGGTGTACAAATTTTAAGGAAGTGGTTTCCCCCTCGGTATCACCATAGTAACTCATTTATACTTAATGACAAAACAAACAAATATTTGCAGGTCATCAAAAATTAGAAACGTCAATTATTAATTGTCAATACCTACTAAATCACAAGATTTGCCTTATTTCGTATAGTTTCTGGAACTTCTTCCTCGTTCACGATGAATTGAATTATTTAAAATTACGTTTGACGTTTGGATGGTTTCAATCACATTAAAATTCGAACCACGCATACTCGATCAAACACAATGAATTATTTTGTAAACGAATTTTGACGAAGAAAAGTATTTGTAAAACATAAAATTGTGTATGTACCACGGGCATAAACTGATGTTTATACTCTCGGGCGACTAAAAAGCTCTCGGGCCATAGGCCCTCGAGCTTTTTAACTCGTCGCCCTCGAGAATATAAACATCACTATTATGCCCTTAATACATAAATAACTATTAAACTATTATTATGGATTTTAGCGTATAATGCCTAAATAATAAATATATATATATATATATATATATATATATCACATCGAAAACCAATATATTTTGAATAACTATCAACTAAAATAAAAAATATTTACCCATGAAAGGTCCTGCAAAATCTGCGTATACACGATGAAATGGTTGATCAGCTGGTTCCCAAATATGCTTTTCTACTTGTTTGGGATTATTTCTGACTAGGTTACAACTAACACAGTTTTTAGCAGTATTTTCTATATCTGCATCAATACCCGGCCACCAACAAATTCCTCGTGCCAACCCTTTCATCTCAGCCATCGCAAAGTGTCCCTCATGTAACTCGTCTAATATAGATTTACGTAACTGTTTAGGAATGACTGCTCGGTGTCCTCTCATTAAAACACCTTGCTGAATGCTAAATTCATTTTCGTCTATATTCCATCTTTCATCTTTAGGAATATTTTTCTGTACTTGTAAGGATGTGACAAGCTTTGAAATACCTTCCTACTTTCTTCAGCTAATTTTTGTGCTGTAATAGGTAAAGTTTCGATTGTATCAATTTGGAAAATATCATATACATCGTAATTTGATGTGTCTGTTCTACTTGGAAGTCTTGATAAACCATCTGCGTTACCATCATTATTTGTATTTAATAGTGTAATTAAACCCTTGTAAAAATAGTGCGTAGTGTTGCATTCTCATTGCTGTGCAAAATGGCAAACTTTTTGTTGGAGATAATATTTGTGTTAAAGGTCCATGACAACGTAAAAGTATTACCGAACAAATATTGGTGAAATTTCTTAATTGCAAAAATGATGGCATATGCTTCCTTGTATATTTGGGTGTACTTCTTTTGGGTTTTTGTTAATGTTTGTGATGCATATTGTATGACTCGTTCTGTTCCATCTGGTTCAACATGTGAAAGAACCGCTCCCACACCATAAGAGCTTGCATCTGTAGCAACTATGATTGGTTTTTCTGGATTGAAATGTACAAGAAATTCGTTACTTTGAAATTCTGTTTTTGCAAGTTGAAAACTATTTTCACATTCTTTTGACCAATGGAACTTAAGTTTTTGCATTTATGTATACCATCTTTATTAATAACATGCCCACAATATTCGATTTCTTCTTTGAAAAACTCGCTCTTTTCTTTGTTAATTTTAATGTTGTACTTGCTAAATCCTTCAAAAACGGTTTTTAGTGTGTGTAAATGTGCCTCGTATGACAACCCTGTAACTTTAATATCATCTATAAAAACAGTAACACCTGGAATATCGCACAAAATTTTTTCAATTTCTTGTTACCAAATGGCTGGAGCAGATGCAATTCCGTAAAGTAATCGATTACATTGGTATAAACCTTTATGTGTATTTAATGTTAAGAGTGGTCTGGCTTCAGGTACGACCTCGAGTTGTAAGTACGCATTTCGTAAATCAATTTTTGAAAAATATATTCCTCCTGCCATCGAAGACAATAACTCATCAATCGTTGGCAAAGGATATTCATCGATCTGTAAGTTGGGGTTAACAGTGACTTTAAGCAGTGCGCTTAAAGAGGGACCGATGACTCGGATGCGTCTAATATGACGGGTGAAAGATTGATGGGGGGAAGGGGGTGCGCTAGGCCTGGCGGCGCATCGAAGTCCAGGGTGTCCATGAACTGCGATGTCGCCATAGAGTACAGGCCGAATGACAGCCCTGCGGTTTGCAGCTGTGCCCCTTTAACTAGGCGCAAGGCCATCCGGTTGTTGGGGGCAAGCTCGTTACCGACTATAGCCGGTGCCATGATGGTGGCGGCATCGGCGTCGTAGGTCATGACTGTGCAAGGTTGGAAAGTGGCCAACGCTTGCAAATAAATTGCGCCAGCTAGTGGAGCTGGGGCAGCCTGGATGGGTGACACCCATCTCGCCCAAGATAGTGAAGTTTGCGACAACAGAATTGGGATGAGAACTGGTCGCAAATACTGGGCTATGACGTTCGCCGTGAATACTCCGTATTCAGCTAGCACGTACGGGTGTCCGGATGACGCCCTTTCTACGTAGTCGGGCGAGCCTAGCACTGCCCACCACCCGTGTTGGTTGTTGGGCCCGTTTATCCTGACCTCATGACTGAAGTCAGCTTTCGGAGAGGGGGCACAGAGCCCCCATTCGCTAGGTCGGACTGCTAGGATATTATCAACGATCAGGGGGTTCCATGTCATAGGGGTGATGTTTTGAGGCAATGCATTTGATATCTAATAATCGTAGCAGATTTATTATAGTCGATAGGTTTCGGGAGGATAGCCGGTGTGGTCCTGAAGGTGCAAATAACTAGCCTGAATGGGGCGTTGGCAGCGGTCGACTGGTACGCCGCGAGGCTCAGATGCTCTAACACCCAGTACAGATCTTCTGGGCGATGGCATACAAGCGGGTCGGTGGAGCTGCCACCGCATTCGGGAGGGCAGGCTGGGCTCCATGGTATAAAACTGTAACCTGGATCGGCGGCCATTGAGCGTATGTGGCAGGTATTCCTGCACCTCCTAATGCTAGGGTGAACCGTCGCCCGTCCTTAGCTAGCCACATTAATGCCTGTAAGTCGCTGTCGTCGAAGTCGTCTCGATGCAGCATAACCACATGGCCCCTCTCGATTGGCGTGATGAGGGACAAATAGTCTAGGTTTGGGTCGTCTAAGTTCAAGAATGTCGGGTCGTTGCCTGCTTGGAAGGGCTCAATGGCAGTGACTGCTCCCAATGCTTCGTTAATTTCTTGCAAGTGGGCATACCATATGAGTTTGACGTATAAAGCTCTGCTTCACCGCCCCAGAAATGATTCTCAGGGCCGCGGTGCACGCAGTTGGGGCCCAGGAATAGGGGTGCTACGTTCGGTGATGTTGCGGACCTCTTCTGGGATTATGGTGGAACCGTCCCCTGCATTAGCCGGTGGCACTCTGTAATATTGGGACAGAGAACAGCCGAATTCAGTCACTATTTTAGACTGGCTAGGGGGGGCACCTGTGCGAGCCCGAAGGCGGTTGTATCGAGCGATGGCATTGTCCGTTGTGCAGACCCGCTGTTGCACGAGGGCTTGCTCCTCATCACTTCTGTACAATGAATCTAGTCCCAAATCCTCCATGGGCGGCGTCGGTACCCGGGGCATCTGTCTGTTTCGGCCAACACCGCCGCCGCCCCCCCCCACACCGGCGCGGAGGTGTTGTTGGGGCGCCCTTTGATGAGGGACGTCCCTGCCTCGCTCGCTGTTGGGGGTCGACGGCACGAATCGTGCCACCTAACCAAGAGCCAAAAGCGAGCACAGTGACACTGGTGGAGAAGGAAGGGGCTGGGGAAGGAGACGCGTCAACATAGTAAGGTGATGACTCAGACGTGCTTGAAGACACGTCTGTATCAACACCGACTATGGACGGCGAACTTACTGTCCAGTTCGATGGACTAGGGAGGACAAAGTGACGAGCAGGAGTCTGGGGATATGGAGACTTGCTCGCACTCCTCAGCCGTTTGGCGATAGGTGGGGTCAACCTACCGCCGGCTGGGCAAGTGGATGGGGGGTTTGCCTCTAAGCCCTCCTGTGGAGCCATTTCGGCTAGAGGCACTCTAGCTTTCACGGAGTTAACGTCATAAGCATGCCCCTCATGTGGAACCGTTTTGGACATGCTTAGACGTTTTTGCGGGGCTACCGCTTCGTCCATTGTGGGGGGCCTCCCCTTCGCTCTAGAAACGCAATCGATCAAGATACAGCCTTCAAGTTTTTCTGAGGTTGCGCACAAGGACGGCGCCACATTACCACAGAATAGACGCGACCACCTCTATTGGGCCGCGTTCAAGGAAAAACATTTTATTTTATTTATATGAATCAGAATACTTTTGTTTATAATTATTACAAACAATAAATCCTGTTAGCTGTTAGCTTCCTTTGGAATTCTGACAAACTGCGATCCCTGGCATTTTACTCCGTGGGCACACGGGTACAGTTATCGGTCATTTTTGTTCCGAAGCAATTCAGGGACAAAAGGGCTTTACAAAATTTATAAAAGAAAATTTCTAAAAAATTTAAAACATTTCTGATTCGGTTGGAAATTGTAAATCGAACAAATAAATAATTTTGAAGCATATATCCAAGGATCTTAAAATATTTGTGAATTTGTATCGTATATCATCGAAGTTAATAAAGATATCATTGATTTCGAAGATACTCTCACCAACGCAATAGATGGAAGGCTGCAGGGAAATTTTTGTCCGTTTAAAATGCTTGATTTGATCTTCTATTACTACT